CAGATACAAGGTAACCTAGGGAATGGTGACCATCAATTGATTGAATTCAGTATCCAGTGTGGGGTGGGAAAGAAAACCAGGAGGGCAGAAGTGCTAGATTTCAGAAAGGATAACTTCAGTGTGCTCAGGAGATTAGTTAGTGAGGCACTGAAGAACAGGAGCACTGTTGAGATGAGAGTCCAGGAAGAGTGGTCGTTCCTAAAGGGAGCAATCCTACAGGCGCAGAAGGAGACAATCCCATTGCACAGGAAAGGGGGGAAAGGGGCCAAGAAACCCTCTTGGCTGAATTGGGAAATTCAGGAAAGAATAGGGGCAAAAAAAGAGGCATACAGGCTGTGGAAGCAGGGGACAGCCACCAAGGAGGAGTGCACCTACTTGGCCCACACTTGCAGGGAGGCAGTTAGAAAGGCCAAAGCAACAATGGAACTTAGACTGGCAACAAAAATTAAAGACAACAGTAAGTCCTTCTTCAGGTACATAGGGAGTAAAAAGAAGGTGCAGGGTAGTACAAGGACCCTAAGGATAAACAAAAGCAATTAGTGACACATGGGGGGGGACAAGGCTGAGCTCTTCAATGAGTTTTTTGCTTTGGTATTCCTGAAACATGGAGCAAAACAAATTTCCCAACTGGTTCATTGACTGCCACAAGGGGGACTCCAGCCCATCAACTGTTAGTGCCAACTTGGTGCCGAGACACTTGGAAGGACTGGATGTGTTTAAGTCAGCAGGCCCGGATGATCTTCATTCACAGGTGCTAAAGGATTTGGCCAGTGTCATAGCAGAGCCATTGGCACAGCTGTTTGAGCACTCATGGTGCTTGGGTCAGGTCCTAGAGGATTGGAAAAGGGCCAATGTGGTCCCTATTTTCAAGAAGAGGAGGAACGAGGATCCGGGTAGCTACAGACTGGTTAGTTTTACCTCTATCTTTGGGAAAACCTTTGAAAAAATTATTAAGGATCACATTTGTGTGAGTCCAGCAGGAAAAATAATGCTGAAGGACAACCAGCATGGATTTGTAGCAGGTAGATCCTGCCTGACTAACCTTGTTTCTTTTTATGACCAGGTTACAAAATGCTAAGACGCAGGAGTCGAGGTAGATGTCATTTACTTGGATTTTAAGAAGGCCTTTGATACAGTAGCTCATCCTATTCTTAGAAATAAATTGAGAGGCTGCAACATAGATGGTCCCATGGTGCTGTTCAATGTCTTCATCAGTGACCTGAAGGAGGGTGTGGAGAGCACTCTGTGCAAATTCACAGATGATACCAAATTATGGGGTAGAGTTAACATGCTAGAGGGTAGGGAATGGATCCAGGAGGATCTGGACAGGTTGGAAAGGTGGGCAGAATGCAATAGGATGCAATTCAACAAAGACAAGTACAAAGTGCTGCACTTAGGGCGAAGGAATACTCAACACACATACAGGCAGGGGGAGGACCTTCTCAGCAGCACAGAAGCAGAAAGGGATCTTGGAGTCTTTGTTGACACCAAGATGAGCAGTAGTCATCAATGTGATGAAATGATCAGTAAAGCTAACAGCACTTTATCATGCATTAGCGGGTCCATGATGAACAGGTCCAGGGAGGTGATACTTCCCCTCTATGCAGCACTGGTCAGACCGCAGTTGGAGTACTGTGTCCAGTTTTGGGCACCACCCTTCAAGAGGGATGGTGATAACTTCAAGAGGGTTCAGGGGAGAGCCACTCATATGGTTAAGGGCCTGCAGGCTAAGCCCTATGAGGAAAAATTGAGGGACCTGGATCTCTTCAGCCTCCACAAGAAACGGCTGAGAGGGGATCTTGTGGCCACCTACAAATTCATTGGGGTGGGGGCAGCAAGGAACAGGCGATGCTTTGTTTAGCAGGGTACCCCTCGGAGTAACCAGGAACAATGGCCACAAACTGGCGGAGGGCAGATTTATGTTAGACATCAGGAAGAACTTCTTCACGGTGAGGGTGGCCAGAAACTGGAATGGGCTCCAAGGGAGGTGGTGCTCTCCCCTGCCTTGGGGGTCTTTAAGAGGAGGCTAGACATGCACTTGGCTGGGGTCATCTGACCCCAGTGCTCTTTACTGCCCAGGGCAGCGGGTTGGACTCGATGATCTACTGAGGTGTCTTCCAGCCCTAATATCTATGAATCTGTGAATCTGAAACTTACATGGTGCCTTTAACAGTGAAATTAATGGGACTTAGCAAATGGCTTGTGGTATTTGCATGCTTTAAATGGGTGCCCACATTATCAAGGGGTGTCTTAAGTGCTTTATAGTGTATGAGGCTCCTTGGTGCTGTGCTTCTCACCATTCTCTCATATACAGGCAGTCCTCAACTTACAACATTTCGAGTTACAACGGTTCACACTTACAACATTGTCGCAGGGCACTAAGGTGCCTGCTACTATAAGAGCAGAAACTGCTTAGGGAGAGGGCCCTAAGAGCCAGACAGAAGCCCACGGGTGCAGGTTACTATGGCAACAGGCTAACAAGTAAATTAGCCTGCACCTGCACCCAGTCAGCTGGGCAAATACAAACCCCAGGGCTGGGACTGGAGACTTAGTTCTCTGTCAGCAGCCAAGGGGGAAGGAGCTCTCAGAGAAGAAGCTCCCCAGAGAGGCTTAGCTGCCTGTTCTACTCTGGGTAGGATTAAGGGGCTCCAGGAGCTCACCAGAGACCCTGGCTTATAAGGCACTTAGTGCTGGGAAACGTTTGATGTTTTAAAGGGTCCACCACGATCCGCTACTGGAGAATTGGCTCCGTGGTCGGACCCAGAGGGTGGTGGTTGACGGAAGTCAATTGTCATGGTGCCCTGTG